GGTCACCGGCGCCAGCCGTGCCAGGCGCGAGCGCGGGGACATTTGGACATTTTTGTCCCCTCCCCGTTTTGTCCCCTCCGTTCCCAGGGCTGCGGTCCTGCGGCGGGAGGGAAGACCCCGAGTTTTGGGGGGACACTCACAGGGGGTCTGTCCTGCCGACCCCAAAATGCGTGCCCCGTTTGGGGGGGACAAGGGGCACCCCAAAAATAACGGGGCGCCGTTACCCGCTTTTTCTGCATTTCTCCAGTACTCCTAAAATGAACCTCCCGAGAGTCCCAAAAGGATCCCACAGCACCCCAAAAATCAGCCCCCAGCACCCCCAAAATGAACCTCCTGAGAATCCCAAAAGGAGCCCACAGCACCCCAAAAATGAACCTCCCGAGAGTCACAAAAGGAGCTCCCAGCACCCCAAAAATGAGCCCCCCCGGACCCCCAAAAATGAACTCCCCGGACCCCAAAATGAATCCTTTACGGGAGTCCCAAAATGAGCTCCCAGCATCCCAAAAACCAGCCCCCAGCACCCCAAAAGGAACTTTCCAGCACCCCCAAAATGAACCACCGGAGAACCCCAAAATGAGCCCCCAGCACCCCAAAAATCAGGCCCAGCACCCCAAAATGAACCTCCCACTATTCCCAAAAGAAACCATCCAGCAACCCCAAAATGAACCCCACAGCACCTCAAAAATGAACTCCCCGGACCCCAAAATGAATCCTCACAGGAGTACCAAAACGAGCCCCCAGCACCCCAAAAATCAGCCCCCAGCACCCCAAAAGGAACTTCCCAGCACCTCCAAAATGAAACACCTGGGAATCCCAAAATGATTCCTCCAGGACCCCAAAATGAACCCCCATCCCTCAGAATGAGCCGTTAAACCCCAAAATGGAACTGGAACCCCCAGAACCCCAAAACGAGCCCCACAGTTTCCCAAAATTAACCCCCACCATCCCAAAATTAACCCCCCCATGCCCCAAAATGAACCCTCCAGGTCCACCCCAAAACAAACCTCCAGCACCCCAAAATGAGCACCCCACAGTGAGGGGGTCCCACCCCAAAATCCTCCCAGTTCCTCCCAGTACAGCCCAGTATAGGGTGGGGGGATCCCAATCCAGGGTAGGGGTCCCTATATGGATGTTGGGGTCCTATAGGGATTTAGGGGTCCCTACACAGGTTTGGGGGGTCCTTACACAGTTTCTGGGGTTCCTCTGCAGTTTGGGGTCCCTGTATGATTTGGGGGGGTCCGCGTGCGGTTTGGGGGTCCCTGTATATTTCGGGGTCCCCCCCCCATTTCGGTGTCTCTGTAGGGTTTTGAGGGTTCCCTGGACAGTTTGGGAGATGCCGAACCTTTGGGGTCCCCCAGACTTTTTGGATTCCTGTCACAGTTCGGTTATTCCTGTATAGTTTTGGGGTCCCTGTAGGTTTGGGAGTTTCAGAATCCCTTCCCGTTTCGGGGTCCCCCGCGTTTTGGGGTATCTGTAGGGTTTTGAGGGGTTCCTGTACAGTACAATTTGGGGCGCCCTGTACAATTTTGGGGTTCTCTGTACCTTTTAGGGCCCCTGTACATTTTGAGGATCCCCTTACAGATCAAAGGTCCCTGAACCTATCGGGGTCCCCCTACTTTCGGGGTTCCTGCAGATTTAAAATTTTGGGCGTTCCTATAAATTTCCAAGGATCCTGCCGAGTTTGGGGAGAACCATCTCACATTTCGGGGATCCCTGCACAATTCTGGGGTCTCCCCTTCACTTTTGGGGTCTCCCCCTTTTCCCGTTCGGAATCCCCGGCTCCGAGTCCTCCGCGCCTGCAGGGGGCGCTGTTGCGGGCGGGCGCCGCTCCGCTCCGCGTCTCGCTGGTTCCGGCGCCGCGTGTTCCCGGCAGCAGCGCCGGGCCCGGGAGCGGGAGCGGCGCCGGGAGAAGCTCCGGGAGCGGCCCCGAGCCCGGCCCGGCCCCGCCATGTGGTTCATGTACGTGCTCAGCTGGCTGTCCCTGCTCGTGCAGGTGGCTTTCGTCACTTTGGCCATCGGTGAGAGCGCCCCGGGGGCTGCGGAACCCGCGGGAGGGAGATGGGCCGCGGGGTCAGACCAGGGCATGTCGCGATATATCGGGGGGAGGGGGGTAGGGCTGAGGGAACGTCCGGGGTGTTCCAGAGTTTGAGGGGGTTCCTGGGTGTCCCCGAGCCCTCAGAGTATCCCCGAGATTTGGGGCCACCGCGTCTCCCTGAGCCGTCAGAGTGTCCCTAAGATTTGGGATCCTTGGGTGTCCCTGAACCCTCAATGTGTCCCTGAGATCTGGGATCCCTGGGTGTATCCAAGCCCTCAGTGTGTCCCTGAGATTTGGGGCCACGGGGTGTCCCCGAGCCCTCAGAGCGTCTCTGAGATTTGGGATCCCTGGGTGTCCCTTAGCCCTGAGAGTGTCCCTAAGATTTGGGATCCCTGGGTGTCCCTGAACCCTCAGAGTGTCCCTAAGATTTGGGATCCCTGGGTGTCCCTGAGCCCTGAGAGTGTCCCTAAGATTTGGGATCCCTGGGTGTCCCTGAACCCTCAGAGTGTCCCTGAGATTTGGGATCCCTGGGTGTCCCTGAGCCCTCAGAGTGTCCCTGAGATTTGAGGCCACCGGGTGTCCCCAAGCCCTCAGAATGTCCCTAGGATTGGGGCTCCCTGAGTGTCCAAGGGATTTGGGGTCCATGTGTGTCCCTGACCCCTCAGAATGTCCCTAAGACTAGGGGTCCCTAACTGTCCCTGAACCCTCAGAGGACTGGGGCTCCCTGGGTGTCCCTAAACCTTTAAATTACCCCTGAAATTCGGGTTCCCTCTATGTCCTTGACCCCTCAGAATGTCCCAGCTTTTTGGGGTCCCTGACTGTCCTGGGGTTTGTGGGTCCCTGCGTGTCCCCGAGCCCTCAGAGGTCTGGAGCTCCCTGGCTGTCCCAAGAATTGGAATTGTCCCTAAACCCTTAAATTATCCCTGAAACTGGGATTCCCTCTCTGTCCCTGACCCCTCAGAATGTCCCAGCTTTTTGGGGTCCCTGTGTGCCCCCAGCCCCCCTGTGGGTGCCCTGTCCCTTTAGGGGCTGGCACCAGCGCTGTCCCCTGTCCCCACAGCGGCCGGGCTCTACTACCTGGCGGAGCTGATCGAGGAGTACACGGTGGTCACCAGGAGGATCATCAAATACATGATCTGGGTGAGTCCTGCGCCACAATTTCGGGTCGAGATAACGGGAACTGCCGATTCCTGGGAAATCCCGGGAAATCTGTCACACTTGGGGTGGGGAGGAGCTCCCCCCTATTTCCTGGAACCCAGAATTCCTCAGTTAATCCCAGTTTTCCCTTCAGTTCTTCTCAGATGGGGTGTCCCAGGGTTCCTGGGTGTCCCTGAGCCCTCAGTGTGTCCCTGAGATTTGGGGCCACTGGATGTCCCCAAACTCTCAGACTGTCCTTGAGATTTGGGGCCACCAGGTGTCCCCAAACCCTCAGTGTGTCCCTAAACCCTCAGACTGTCCCTGAGATTTGGGGCCACTGGATGTCCCCAAACCCTCAGTGTGTCCCTAAACCCTCAGACTGTCCCTGAGATTTGGGGCCACCGGATGTCCCCAAACCCTCAGACTTTCCCTGAGATTTGGGGCCACCAAATGTCCTCAAATCCTCAGTGTGTCCCTAAACCCTCAGTGTGTCCCTGAGATTTGGGGCCACCGGGTGTCCCTGACCCCTTAGAATGTCCCAGGGATTGGGGTTCCCCAAGCCTTTAAATTGCCTCAGGGACTGAGGTTGTCCCCAAGGACTCAGAGTGACCCAAGGATTTGTGGGACAAACTCTTGGGAAATCCCAGGAAATCCGTCACACTTGGGGCGGGGAGGAGCTCCTCCCTAATTCCTGGATCTCAGAATTCCTGAATTAACCCCACTTTTCCCTGTTCCAGTTCTCCTCGGCCGTGCTGGTGGGGCTGTACCTGTTCGAGCACTTCCCGGGATTCCTGGTGGGAGTGGGGCTTTTCACCAACCTCGTCTACTTYGGGCTGCTCCAGACTTTCCCTTTCATCGTCCTCACCTCCTCCAACTTCATCCTGTCCTGCGGTGAGGGGGTTAAATCCACCCCAAAAAGGGTGGGAATGGTTGTAGGGTAAAGGGGGAGCCTCATTCCCCATTCCCAGGTGGGGGTAAAAGTTTGGGAATTCTACCAGCACCCCCTCCCCACCCCGCCCCGGGATGGACTTTGAACTTTGGGGTGTTTTAATTGCGGGTGGTGATGTGGCTGGAGCTGGGAATGCTGGGATTTCCTGGAATTCTGGGATTTCCTGGGAATTCTGGGCTTTCCAGGCACTCTCAGCCTCGTGGAATTCCAGCCTGGTTTGGAATTGGGACAATTCCCGCTGTCCCAGGTGGATCCAAACCCCATCCAACCTGGCCTTTGATGCTTCCAGGGATTGGGGCAGCCACAAATTTTTTTGGGGAGCCAAGCTGATC